TTATTTACACTTTTAATTAGGGATGCACGATAATATCGGTGTCCGATAATTATCGGCAATTATCGGCAATTTTGACGTCCAACCGATAAGTCCGATAGTAAGAAATCAACCGATAAAATGCGCCGATAATAGCAAAGACAAATCATCTCCGTTTTGCCTCTGAGCAGTCTGTCGTGGCTCGCGCTCCATGCTCTCTCCTCAACCCCCTCCACTCCGTAAGGGAATGTCGCATATTTGTTGCGTCACCAAGCCGCGCTCTTGTTTATAAAGAAAAAGCATAATGGCGTGGCAGTCACCAGTGTGGGGATTTTTTTCCGTGTCTGAACAAGACAACTCTCTCGCAGTTTGCAAAACGTGCTCTGCAGAAGTTCCACGTGGAGGAAAAAGGTCGACGGGCTTCAACACAACAAATCTGATAAGTCACCTCAAAATCCACCATCGTGAAAATGAGTGGAAGCAATATGAAGCCACTTGTGCCGCGAAGCGCAACAACATTGGCGCACCCGGCAAACGTAAAGCCGCGGGGACGATGACTATTCAGGAATCGTTTAACAAGAAACAAAAGTTTGTCAGAAAAGACCCAAGGGCTAAAGCAATTGACGACTTAATAATTCAGTTTATCGTGACGGGTGACCAGCCGTTCTCTGTGGTACAAGACATTGGATTCCAAATGCTAATGCAGCACCTCGAACCACGTTATGATATTCCAAGCCGCCGCTATTTTTCTGACACATCCCTTCCTGCACTTTACGAAATGCTTGCCACACACGTCCACACGTTGCTCGCAAAAAACGACGCTAATTGGATCAGTTTCACAACGGACATATGGACGTCAGGCGTGAGTCCAGTCAGTATGCTAAGCATGACGGCACAGTGGCTAGATGGAGATTTTAACTTACAAAAAGCTACCCTCCATTCACAAGAGCTGCCAGGGTCACACACATCACAAGCAATCTGTGAGGCTTTTGAGAAGATGTTCCAGAAGTGGAGCATAACAAAAGATAAGGTGCATGTTGTCCTGCGGGATAATGCTCGTAATATGATAAAAGCAATGGAGCTGTGTGGAGTTTGTAGTCTGGGCTGCATGGCACATACACTTCAACTGGCCATACATGAAGCTGTGTTGAGCCAAAAAAGTGTATCTGACTGTATTGCAATTGGACGTAAGATGGTTGGCCACTTTAAACATTCACAAGTAGCTACCACAGCCCTTGCAAACTTACAAACACAATTAGGTTTGTGTCCTGCGAGATTGCAACAAGATGTTCCAACAAGGTGGAACAGCACCTTTTATATGCTCCAGAGTCTGATACAGCAAAAGCGACCACTTGCTGCATATGGAGTGGACAACAAATTGCCAGCAACATTGAGCCCTCACCAATGGTCACTGATTGAAAATATGGTGACCATTCTTGAGCCATGTGAACAGCTGACAAGAGATATCAGCAAAGCTACAGCTACAGCTGCAGATGTGATACCGGCTATCCAAGCATTAAAGAGACTATTAGAGAAGGCTGTCCCCACTGACCATGGTGTAAAAACCTCAAAGAGCACCCTTTTGGACGCAATCAAGACACGTTTTGATCGAATTGATGCAGAGCCCTTGTATCTATTTGCCACAATCTTGGATCCTAGATACAAAGACCGCTACTTCACCGCAGAAACTAAAAAAAAGGTGAAGAAAATGCTGCTGGAGAAATTGAAGAACCAACTCCAGTGTGACTCACCTGGTAAGATATTTTCTAACTTGAAATTCCAATTGGGTTTTATATTTATATTGAATTATTGATTATTGCTAAAAAATATTACTTTTTTTGTGACAGATGAGAGCGTGCCTGTGCCTGAAGGGGAAAGGACCATGGCCAGGGGAAACAATTCACTCCTGGACATGTATGACAAAATAATACAGGAAAACACAGAGGGAGCTGGACGACAAGAAAAAATGCATGTGGAAGTGCAGGTAAATATTATAAGATGAATCTGATTAATTAACGAAATTAATGTATTTTTACATATTTTTTCACTTAGTTCCAGACATACATCTCAGAGGCCACACTCCCCATGAAGACCCAGACTCTGACACCATTGGACTTTTGGGCAAAGAACAAAAGCCGTTTTCCAGACTTGGCCCAGCTTGCGCGGAAATACCTGTCTGCCCCTTGCACTAGCGTTGACAGCGAACGCTTATTTTCTGCTGCTGCAAATGTAATGGATGAAAAACGAAACAGGTTAGGATGTGAGAAGGCAGAGATGATACTCTTTGTTAAGAAAAATCTACCACTGATCCGACCTGAATTGGCATAAAACTGAGTAGTAGTAGTAATATTGTAGTAGTTTTTGTTTGACTCAATCATAAATCCACAGGATTTAGCCTTTTGTTTTATTATTTTGGAAAAATGCACTTTTATTTGAACCCTGATCTCTTTGATTTATCATTGAATGTTGCCTCTTTATTTATTTATTTTTAGATGCAGGCATTTTTTCCACATATTTATTTTCTTTTTTATTTAACTGTCAGGGGACATTTTTTGAAAAGTTATGTTACTTGTTGCTATTTTGCTAATGTTATACATTGAATATTATGGGCCTATTTCTATTGGCCTCATTGTTCTACTTAATATATTGCACTGATAAAGCCTTTGAAGCAAGAATATAAATTAATAAATTCCAACTTTTTGCTCTACAAAGTGATTCATTGTTATATTTATGGGTCAAAAATAAAGCAGGAGATAGGTTTGTATTAAAACTAAAGTCAATTAGGCAAAGAATTATCGGCTGACATTATCGGTTATCGTTATCGGTAGACATACAATTATCGGTTATCGATATCGGTTCAAATTTGCATTATCGTGCATCCCTACTTTCAATATTATACGATTATTATTAGTATTATAGTATTTCAAACAGTTGCAGATGTATTTCCACACACACAAAAAACGAACAGCACCTTCTTCACTGATGTTTCTCTGCAAGAAAACGTCTGGTAGTACATGCGCAGGGACAGTCTATAAGTCTCCCAAATGTCAAGAATAATTCTCTGGAGTGTGCCAGAACACCCAACAGTTCGTGTTGAGTGTTAATATGTGTGCAGGTGAGAGGGGGCCAATCAACATCAAGGCTCGGACAGCTCATCGGCTAATGTTCATTACCGACCTCCAGAAAGACAGCCAAAACTTCACCTCAGCCCCTGGAACCCCGACAGCTGCATGCGAACTGTGCCAAGGGAGGTGCCGTCTAATTAAATTAAGACCGCTTATGTGATTACCAGCTCTGGATGGGAGTCACCCTGCAGATTGTCGCCGGGTGGACGGATTCATAGATGTAAAAACTGTCCACGACACATGTTACGGCGACGACAGGATAAGCAGTCTGCTGTAGGGTTTATTTTCTCCTTGGATATGCTCACAAATAAAACTGCCCATTAATCCAAGATGGGAGTGGGTTGAGTGCGGGTTATGAACGGATCTCGAGCGAGAGACTCCAGGCGAAGCCAAGAGGCGACACAAAAGCATATGACGCGGAGCAGGTGGCGATTAGGTCAGAATTCAAATGTATAAAAGAAGTATGTGAGAGCGCATTTTACAGACCAAGGTCATACAAAGCACTTTACAATTGTTCAGAGTTCAGATATTTTTAAGACGCAGAACACATCAAAAAGCATCAAAGCCCTCAACCAACACCATCCATTCACTCATTACATTCAGACCTATTGTACATGTTTTTAGTGGTAGGGAAACCAGAGCACCCAGAGGAAGCTAAGCAGACACGGGGGAACATGCAAACTCCACACAGAAAAGCCAGGAGGTGGAATCAAACCCAGGACCTTTCTGCTGTGAAAACACAAGCTCGAACCGCTGCGAGAGCATTTAGCCGTTCGAGTTTGTGGCAGCAGGACATTTTCAGTTCATGAATGCATTATCAGTTTTTTTTGAATGTGTGCGTGATCTATAGGGTGAGTGCACATTAAAGACTACCTTATTCATGCTAAATCAACTTGTAAGAGCTTATTATAATAACGTCCTCTTCTTAGTCACCACTCATGTATGTTTCATTGTTTGAGTGGTTTATTTTCTACTCTAGGGGCCTGGCAATGTCTAGTATCTGGCATATGAATCACAGCACAATACATAGAGTAGATATAAAACAGATATTCTTTTTACAAGCCCTATTCTAGGCGCTATTCAAGTTTCCACTCCTATGTCAGTCCCCTACTTTTAATATTACCATATTTTACGAATTGTGTTGGTGGATTTATATTTATTCTCTACTAGTTATAATCAAAAAATAAAATAATAATAATAAACACATAGGAATTAGTGTAATTAGTCTTCTATACGCTGATGGTAAGCGTCAAAAGAGCCGAGATGGCTCTTACATTGACCTGATTAACGTCAATATTGAGTTCACAAATGTTCTGACATGTACATGAATAAGCCAAGTGTTAAAGCAATAACTACTCAACACACAAAAACATATCATGTCTTTAAACATTATATAGAGTAGATTTACAAGATCAAAGCTTTGCGTTTCTCCTTGACAAGCAATGCAAAAGACAAAATACACAAGATTGAACTAACTACACCAGTCAAAAGAGGCTTTGTTTTCCTCTTCTCCAGTGTAAGACTTGATCTAAAAGTTGATGGCATTTCAAAGCAGCGATGAGGATAATTTTTAGATTATTTAAAATGAACTCAAAGGTATTTTCATTGTCATAAAGCTACTATAATTTTGAAGGATTGGAACTAAACAGTTCATTGAAAGGTTGGGTGTTCAGAGTTTTCCTTGTCCATGCACGAGGGTGAAAAGACAGTGGTGATGATCCAGGACACACAACATTCAATGATATTTATGGACACGTTTTGCCCTTTATGGACCAATGGTTCTCTGTGTTGGGGAATTTAAAGCTTTTGTTAAGTCAGAGATAACCATTGTTGCAATCTAAGGCTATATATAAAAAAAATATTATTTTTGAAGGTTTATCTAAGATAAAAAGTACTTACTCCTCCTGGGTTCCCGTCTGAAGCGGTGACGATCAAGCGGTACTGGTCAGTGGTCTCACGGTCCAGCGGGTTCCTCAACAGTAGAAGGCCAATCCTGCACAGATACAGACACAGATACAGAGTGAAAAAGATGTGAAGACAATTGCTTGCCAGCCTGTCACCCTAATGACTCTTTTGACTAATGGTTCAATAACTGATGCAGAATGATAAGCCTGGGAACAGGGCCTTTTTGAGTGGTTTGCATGTTCTTCCCATGCCTGTGTAGTTTTTCTCTGGTTGCTTCAGTTTTCCATATCACTAAAAACATTTAAAATAGGTAATATATTCCAACTCTTGTCCTGACCAAATCGAGCATTAAGGTCTCCTGTTACTATGACAATCACTGGTGCAGACTGATGCCCAAGTGGCACTGCAGGATGGGTCAAACGCAGAGAAAGCATTTTCCTACAGGGCAAAAAATACAGTAAAACCTGTAGCATCTTAATGTAATTATGCTCTGTACCTTTTCTTTGTTAAAGTGGAGACATTTTCTCAGTGAAAATGAGTTAGTTGTACATGGTTCTCTATGACTAAATGTTACTGTTTATTTTACAAATCAGGCTTTATTGTATTGGCATGAGTGGCAGTGAGAGGTTTGATTTTGAATCAATATATCGTCATAAATAGTTATCTTAACAGGCCTGAAAAAAGTACTCAATATATTTCCTGTATAAAGGAAATGTAAAATTTACCAGACCACACACAAACACACTCATGGAAACTAAAAAAAGCCAGATGAAGAGAGTCTCCAGCCTGCATCTAAGTTGACTACATGTTATGCTCACTAATGTAGGGTTATAAAAGTATTATGGAATAATTTACATTTGTGTTCTTCCGGTGACTATGATGGCAACAAGAAGAAGCTCTCAGCCATTTCTGTTGAGTAAAAGTATCTCTTTGATTGAAAGACTCATTGAGCTCTCCAACATCTGATACATTTGGCAGTTTTCTGATCAAACATGTCTACAATTGAACAGGGTTTGAGATCTGAAAAAGTGAACACCGCTTTCCAATCTTCAGAAATTGTTCCGTATAAAAAGATCTACAACAACAACTCTCAACGTAAATATTTACTTGGTTCTTGCAGGAGCCCAGGTTTAAAAAAAGCATCTTATTTTCAACATCCTTAGGCCCTTAGGCATATTTTTCATCTCTCCAGCCACCTTTATGGCCCCTCTCTTCTTTCTTCCGAGTGCTATTGCGCAAATACGCAAAAGCAAAGCATGGCAAGCACACATAGCCACGAGATGTTCACGTGCCAAGAAAACCCACACATCATAAAGCATCTCCCGGGGGTATCCTCATTACAGTAAACAGACAGGGAACACAGCACGATTGCTAGGATGTAATGAAGCATACAGCCGCAATAATACAGTACAAGGTTTAATTTAACGGGTATTGACAGAAGATAGAGTTTCATTTGCAGTTTATGGCTATGATAATGACTGCAATAAACAGCAAAAATATATAAAATATGAGGTAGTAATTGCTTGAACAGAGTGGTTGTTGTCTAAATTTGAGTACATTCCATCTGTCTTAAAACTATATTTGCCAATGGTGTAAGTCATTTTGTTGTTTAAAGAACTGTGGCTTTAATTTCTTTTTCAAACATTTTTCTCATTGGCAAATCTTGTCTTAAGGCAGTCACCTTTTTGCAGTGGTAATATGGTTTGCAGGATAGGGTTGGGAGCAGGTGGGGTTTCCAGATTTTTTGTTCCCCATCAGGTGGAACTACAGACGGAAAGAGACACGTTTTCAGGTGTGGATTCGTGCGTCAAACGGTAGCATGGGCCTCCGTACAGACCGGTATATGTGTATGCTCTGTAATTTGCCGAGCTGACATTCTGGCGCGCACACAAGGATCGGGTTGCATTTCAAAGCACAACACGGAATTATCTTGCTCCATGCACAAGGGACATGGTAGAGGCGCCAGAGCAAAGAGGCACCAGAGCAAGGAGGTGCGCAAGCATGCGTCGCAACATATGGGAGGAGGCACACGAGCAAATGAATGTGGAATTAAATGGCACCGAGTTTATTTCCCTTTATTGAAATGCATGTCTAGCACTGTTTATTGCAAAAAAAGAGTTCTTTCGGAGGCCAGAAGTGACCATTTCAATTTAATTGAATCTTGTAAATTCCTATTTCACAAAAGTAATTATCTCGGGGCACTTGACAAAACCGTTGAATTCGCCAACACAGAGCAGAGAATCAATCTGTTCAAACACAAGAAATACCTTGTTAGATAACAGCTGAGTTTAAAAAAAAAATTCCATGGTTGAATGTTGAGTGTCCTGGATCATCGCCACTGATCCTTCTGCATCGGCAAGGAAAAACTCTAAAACAGTGGGAAAAGGTGAGAAACCTCGAGGCGGTCCACATTGAAGGATCCGCTCCCACAGACGAATGGGCTATAGATACAGAACTGCTACAGAATGAGGACAAAGGCCATGTGAGGCAGAACTCAGAATAAGGACAGACGCAAACTAGGGCTGAGGCAGCTCTCAATCAATCCCATTAGTATAATAGCCTTCTATGTAACGTGATTACATAGAACACTGGATACATTAGGACCATGATCTGCCCTGGAAATTAGATATTGATAGCTATACTATAAATTGCTATTGATGTCTTCAAAACCAGTTTGGGTTGCATTTTGTCATTGAAAGGTTTGTGGCAAAATAATTGTATAATGTGAAAAGAGCACATTTCCTAGCTACCCCACCCCCATTAATCGCAAAACATAAATCAAACATGTAATTGCATATTATTGTGTCTACTGGAAACGCCACCGTTTCCAGTAGAGGCCTTTTCATACTCCAGTTTCATATTTAGACCAAAGCCACCCACATCTGCATTTGTACCCTCAGGTTAATGTGACACAGTTTCTACACATAGCACAGCGGTTTGCACATTCTCTCCATTTCAGCTTTCCACCAGTGCAACAATTTCCCCACCAAAATGAGTCGTAGGGGAAACCTTAGCTAAAACACTACATGATATAAAATTCAACCTAATATTTGTTGTATTCATGGATATTTCTAGCTTATAGCTGTCCCACCCATAGGCAGAGGGAGCGCCCGTTGTACTGCAGACTAAATTCAGGTGGGCTACCCAGAAAAAAGTTCCATAGATCTCAATGTAAACTAAAACAGCTCGACCTCAGCTGACAGAGATCCTACAGCTTTCATAAAGATCGGATTTTGTGGGAATTTTAGTGTCCCTTGTCATCATGAACTTTTTTTCTTCTTAAATCCTTCGGTTTTCTTTAAATCCACACTTTACTGCCACAAACTCTGCTCCTTTCCTTCCCGCTCTGACTCCCGAAGGAAGCGCTTGACCAACGGGTAGGAGCGGGCCGAAAAGCCCCCAAACCCTCCGTGACCCGAGGCAATGGCTGCCGCAAACACCGCCAGGTGCCGGCAGCCCTCCCCTTCTCTAACAGCTCTTGAAGAAACCCCAGGACCCCCTCCAGAGGGCATGACATGGGGTCCCAGGAACGCACCGTGCACCAGTCACTGAAAACCTTCCACCTGCAGCCATAGGCCCTGATAGTGGAAGGAGCCCTCACACTCTGAATGGTCTCCACCACCGATGGAGGGAGGCCCAGGTCTACGAGGTTCCGCCTCTCAGCCTCCAGACCCGGAGTCTGTAGCCCAGCACCGGGCAAGAGCGAAGCGTCCCACCCCCTGGACCAGAGCCCAAGGCTCGTCCGGGAGGGCCCAAGGCTCGTCCGGGAGGCTCCATCACCGCCATGCCCCTCAGGAACGTACAGAGGGCATGCGGACTGTACGGAGCGACCAGAATCACCTCCCGACCCTCCTGCTCGATCCTCCTCAGCAGAACCGGTAAGAGGCGAGTCGGAGGAAACGCATATAAGAGGCCCCCTGGCCACGGGTAATGAGCCAGGGCAGTGAAAACCAGTGACACGGCACCGACCAAAGGCACCCGTCCTGCATCAGACCCGGGGTGAGCCTGAACCTGATGTCTGACGCTATGGTCGGGGGAACCGCGAGCATCCTCCCCCCGTCAAGGTCTGGTCGAGAGGTTGGACAGCGTGGCGAAGGACTCCTCAAGACTGGCTCTCCATCTGATTCCATGTCGGGCATGTGATCCAGCGGGAACCTGTCTTGTCCCTCGCACCAGGAATCGGCCTCGTCGAGAGTGACAAAGGAACCCTGGTCCTCGTCCTCCACGACGCAGTCTCCCCAACATACTGCACCTCAGATTCTTCCTCCTGGAACTATTTACATTATTTTACGCATCCCAGCTTTATCCAAAGTACATTAACATAAAACTTTTTTTTTCTGCTTATGGAATGGAAGTTCTATTTTAACTGAGTGGAGCGAAGCATACAGGGAACAAGACACGAATGTGATAATGCAATGATAATGAAGATACATCAGTCTGATTATAATGATAGTGATAATTCTCGTTACAGTGAGTGACAAAGATAGGAGTGATTAATATTACATGTCCAACCTCTGGAGTATATACCATCCATGCAGTTCTATAGGCTCATTTTCGTAGCAGATGTAATTCCATCAATGGCACCATCCGCTCTAACATCTGAAAAGCGCCCCTCCAATTTGCAGACTCCTTTTTATAGGCCTCGGTATGTAAATGGTGGTATGTAAATTTGACTGGCAGCTCGTCATGCGTCATCACTGAGCTGAATACCCATAATGCAACGCTGTCTCTGGTATTGAAGTGCACAAAGAAAAAGAAGTCAGCAGTGTAGAATTTCTCATTTTTGAAGTCTTGCCAAAAATGGAGACGAGTAGAAGTGCAACCATAGTATTTAGCCGAGGAAAGAAAAAACAGACCAGACGCCGTCACTGTAGAAATATTGATTTATGAATACTGATATAGTTCAATGTTTTAAATGTCATGTGCACCCCAGCAGCTACAGCAGCGTGTGCATTTGAGGCCGGAGATAAACAGGGAATTTTTGACTTGTAATGCAAGAAAGGGTCTTGCAAACGGATCAAAGTGAGAGTGGTATTAACATTTTTTTTTTTTTTTTTTTTATTCCCTGTGTAATTTTGAAAGTTTTAA